GGGAAGGATCTGGAGGAGCCCATTCGGTCGAGGCTGATTGACTTGGTAAGGGAGTTATCTGATATTTTTGCCTATACAGCTGAGGAGTTAACAGGAATAAGGGCGGAGGTGATTGAACATCGACTGAATGTCGACCTCAGCGTGAGGCCGGTGAAGCAGAAGAGGAGGCACCATGGGACGGAGATGGACAAGATTATCGAGCAGGAGGTTGAGAAACTATTGGGAGCAGGGCATATTAAGGAAATTCAATTCCCTGAGTGGTTATCAAACACAGTGATGGTGTCTAAGTCGGAAGGAAAATGGAGAATGTGCATTGATTTTCGTGACTTGAATAAGGCATGCCCGAAGGATCTATATCCACTGCCCAGAATCGACCAGCTGGTCGACTCAACGGCAGGATGTGAGTTGCTGAGCCTAATGGATGCATCCCAAGGGTACCATCAAATTCCCTTGGCTAGAGAAGACAGGAAGCGGGTGAGTTTTGTGACTAGTCGAGGGACCTACTGTTACGTGGTCATGCCGTTTGGTTTAAAGAATGTGGGTGCCACATATCAAAGGTTGGTCGATAAGATTTTCAAGGAGCAACTGGGAAGTAATATGGAGGTATACGTGGATGATATGTTGGTGAAGAGTAAGGAGGAACTCGACCATGTGCGAGATTTGAGAGAAACATTCTTGACGTTGCGGAGATATGGGATGAAGTTGAACCCAGCCAAGTGCTCTTTCGGGGTAAGATCGGGCAAATTTCTGGGCTACCTGGTCACAAGGAGGGGGATCGAGGTCAACCCAGAGAAAGTGAGGGCGGTAATCGAGATGCAGCCCCCCACGAAGGTAAAGGAAGTGCAGATCTTAACTGGCCGAATAGCGGGCCTGAGTCGTTTTATTTCCAAGGTGGCCGAGAAGAGTGGGCCTTTATTTAAGACACTCCGGAAGAGCTCGAAATTTCAATGGACGGAAGAAGCGCAGAGAGCGTTTGAGGAGTTGAAGAGGATGTTGGTCGATTTGCCGTTATTAGCAAAGCCGGTGCAAGGGGAGGACTTGGTGTTGTATGTTTCCATCGGAGAGGCGGCAGTAAGCTCTGTGTTGTTGCGGGAGGAAGGAGCAGCCCAGTTTCCTATTTACTATGTAAGTAAAGTGATGCAAGGGGCGGAAAGGAGATACTCAGAGATCGAAAAGGGGGCTTTGGCGGTGGTGGTTACTGTAAGGAAGCTGAGACCATATTTCCTGGAGCATAGGGTGAAGGTCCGAACGAACATGCCACTGGGAGAAACGCTGGGTCGACCCTCCGTGTCGGGCCGATTAGTTAAATGGGCGGTCGAGTTAAGTGAATACACAATTATCTACGTGCCAAGGAGAGCAATAAATGCCCAAGCGTTGGCGGATTTTATTCGGGAGGGGACGAAGGAAGGCGAGGAGCTCGAGGGGGGTATGGCAAGTATTTGCAAATGGATCGGTGTCGAGGGCGGGAGGCGGCCTAGGCATCGTTGTTGTGTCGCCAAGAGGCGATAGCTTGGAGTTCGCAATTAAAGTGGCCTACAATATATCAAAAAATGAGGCGGAGTACGAAGCGGTCATTAAAGGACTCAAACTGGCCTTAAGTGGTGGGGCTCGAGCAGTGCAAGTGCATTCAGACTCACAGTTGGTCGTGGGCCAATTCC